CTGGTTAATGTTCGTTACCTTGTGAGTAGTGGAATGGTGAAAACAGAAAACGTCGATTATTTTTATTTTATATTTTGAGGCTTTGACGCTGTTTTGATTGATAGTTCAGGAAACATTTTCACTAGATTAACTCATTCTTCAATTCCTAGTAGCAGAAATTGTATTTTACCCGTGTTTATGAATTTTAGACTTTCATCCTCTCATGGTGTTGAAGAAGATGGTTAGAGTTTTATATTATCACTATTCCAGGTTTGCTCAGTGAGTTTGAATTAGTATTTTAAACCATGTATTTATTTGATGCATGTGAATGTAGTTCGGTGATTACACACAAGATTTTCTTGACTTTTTGGTGAAATTAAGTTTTGAAAACCATATTTGTGTAATCGTAAGCTTTCTCTGGTGCTAGATCCACTGACCTGTTAAAGTCCCCTTCTTTTTTTGTTATGCTTAGATACATAGATTTACACGAATTTTCTGTTTTGCAGGTTTAGTTTCTCCACTATGTTCTTTGCACACAGTAAGTAAATCATACCAATACCCCAAATCCTGACATATCAGCATAATTGTGCAGATGGTTTTGTTCTTTCACCCTCTGCACATTACTGTAAGGAAACCAAAATGTCTGTTCTAATATCACCTCTGCATATTTTCAGGAGAGAACACCGGGAGTACGCTTGGGCGGTTTGTGCTGATCATTTGGCTCTTTGTGGTCTTGATAATCAATTCAAGCTACACAGCAAGTTTGACATCTATCCTCACAGTTCAGCAACTCTCATCAGGAATTCAAGGACTTGATAGTTTGATCTCTAGCTCTGACCCTATAGGATACCAGGTTGGTTCATTCGCAAAAAACTATATGATGGAAGAGCTAAACATTGCTGAGTCGCGGTTGATATCCCTAAATAATCCTGAAGCTTACGCAAGGGCACTTGAGCTTGGGCCAAAAAATGGAGGCGTTGCTGCAATAGTTGATGAGCTTCCATACATTGAAATCTTCTTGTCCAACAACTGCAAGTACACGACGGTTGGTCAGGAGTTCACGAAAAGTGGATGGGGCTTTGTAAGTATCAACATTCTTTGCACTTGCATCACATGATCCCAACAGCTAAAGCCTATTGTAGTTCTGAAAATTGACATTTTGGATTGACAGGCCTTCCCAAGAGACTCTCCTCTTGCAGTGGATCTATCGACAGCCATCCTGACACTGTCAGAAAATGGTGATCTCCAAAGGATCCATGACAAATGGCTAGCACGCACTGGTTGCAGTTCACAAGACAATGAGATAGATTCGAACCGGTTAAGCCTTGGCAGTTTCTGGGGCCTTTTCCTCATCTGTGGTCTTGCATGCTTGTTAGCTCTCATTGTGTTCTTCATGAGAATATTCTGCCAATATAGCAGGTATAGTAGCCAAGACGATGTTGGAAGCATTGACCCTGAGCGCAGTTTCAGGCGTCCAATGCGATTAACTAGCATCAAGGATTTGATTTCTTTTGTCGATAAGAAGGAAGAAGAAGTTAAGTGCGCAATCAAGCGAAAATCTAGTGATAAGCAGCAACAGAGTAGCCAAGTGACTAATGAACAGTCCATGTCACCAGCATAGGAAGAGCAATTGGAAAATGCTGAAGAGAATAGTTTGTACTCCTTGCATGTTCGAGTGCTTGAGTATATAGTACAAAAGCAGGATAGGCAGCAATCTACAAAGATGTGGGCTTGTAAATGGTAAGTTTAAACCTTTTGTGCTAATGACTTAGTAGCACAGAAGGGTCTTTTTCTGAGTTTGGATAATCTACATTCCCTGTAATCGATACTTTTAGGCAACCCAAGTGATTTCATGCCTATAATTAAAAAAAAAAGTTCAATCTAAAAGAGAAGTATTTAGGCAGGTGGATCTGTTGAGTCTGCATCAATTGAATGCAATTATATTGCTCAAGTCTTTCTTGTGTTTGATGTATTACATAAATTTCATGTAAGAATGAAGTGATGAGATCAAAAAATTTTGATTCTTCACGACCTAAACTCTCTTGTGGTTAGCTATCATGATATTCTAAGAAAGCCATTTGATTCAACTCGAACTGCATCTTATTTGTGCACTTACCAATCATTTACAAATTGAGCATATCTGTTGAACTTGTTTAGCTTGTGCACAAAAATGGCAGATTTAGAACTTGCATGTGGTTAATAATACAGTGATATCACGATATGAAAAGCTCGATGAACTACGATTGGAAATGCATCCTCAGTTCGGTTACTGAACATGATACATACCTTGCATGCTTATAGTTGCAGGAATATTGCTACCCCAACCTATGATTCACTCTTATCAGTCAATGAAAGGACCATATCCTTTTGTTCCTCTTGTTATCGTTGTTGTTCTTCTCAGATGTAAAACACACTGCCAAAGTTTCAGGTTTATAGTTGCTGCATAATTTAGCATAATGGTTATAGGTAATACAAATTATTCATTAGATTTTGCTGGGTATCATTGATTATTTCCAATGAGAATAATTGTATATATATCATTCAAGAACCACGAGATACAGCACGAAGTAACTTTCACGCTGAGATGAGCAATTCATGTTGTTCGTATGTTTCATTCTTTCAGTGCCAATTTCGACACGCATCCTCGTCTCCTGATGAGACATCATCGGTGATCTCAGCGGCCACGATTCCCAAACAAACATACAAAACCTTACTCGTTTTATGCGAGGAAGCATTTTGCACCAACCAATCTCTCGTCTTTGGTCAACCCTTTCCTCACGCACCATCCGCTCGTCACCACGTGCACCATATGATAGAGAGAGAGAGAGAGAGAAAGTCGTGAAGGAGAGGAAGAAGACAACGAGAATAGGATACAAAGGGCCACCAACGATTATGGAGCCATACCTTCGGCTCCCCACCACCCCTCTCTCCCCTTCGTTGATGGGCGAGAGAGGCCTTCTACCCTTCACCGCCACCATCGACGCCACGGCCCAACGAACATGAGTCACGTCGGCCAGGCTCTGGTCCACCTCGAGGCCAAGTGGGCTCGCCTTGTCCGCCGCTTCTTCCACGCCGTCCGGGGCCACCTCGTCTCGTGCTCCTCCTGCGACGGTCGGTACCGGCAGCTTAAGGCGAACCTGCATGCGCCGAATCCCATGGTGGTGCTACATGACATTCCCCAGGTGGATGTTGTGGGGGTGCGCACGGAAACGGAGGTGGACTCCGATGTGCTGTCGTTGAAGATTAGCGTCCTCGGTGATTGCCATATTGGAAAAACAAGCTTCATGGTATATATTCATATGCAATTCTTGATCTTTTGGTTATCATTAACCTGCAATAAACGTAAGTAGATCTGATAGTCTGTTCTTTTGTGTTGCTTGCGTGATGCGGTAGACCAAGTGTGTGGGAGATATGGAGGAACAGAGAGGAGTAGAAACTGCAGGATTGAATCTAATGGACAAAATTTTCGATCTCAAGGGAGCAAGGATCGCTTTCAGGATATGGGAGGTAGAAGGTAAGAACAGAGTTCTCTTCTTCAAATATAAATGCCATGTTAGCATACCAGGATGAGCCTATTGGAGATTAAACACGGTACTCGTAGGTGATGATCATCTGGATGATGTCCCCGTCGCCTGTAAAGATGCTGTAGCAGTTCTCATTATGTTCGATCTTACCAACCGATGTACGCTAAACAAGTTAGTATTTCCTCTATCATAAGTTGAAATCGTGTCTTGTGTATCATCTCCTTTGAAGATTAGTAAGGATGCTTGGAAGTTCTTGTTCTGCATCTCATGTCGTGTGACCTTTCTTCCTTCAGTGCTATTTCCTGGTACCAACAAGCAAGAAGATGGAACAAGGTATTGATGTTTTCCTCATTTGCTTTCCCCTACTGCATCTGATACCATGGCTCTCATGGTTGCGTCTGCTGATCATACTAATTCGTCTCTCTTCCGCTTCGTCTAGACCGCGATTCCTGTACTTATAGGGACCAAGTTCGATGACTTCGTTCAGCTTCCTCTTGAAATGCAATGGGCGATCGTGAATCAGGTGAAGTTTCATTCCAATATCCCATCATCCGTAGATTGTTGTCTGTGATTCGATCACAGATTAACATCGATGCTGAAACAAAATCGAGTTTTTCTTCTTCTAATTGCAGCCTCGATCACTGTTTAGTAGTGTATAATCTTTAAGAACTATGTTGGTGCGGAAATGAGCAGGTGTTTTTGTGTTGTTTGAGCAGGCCAGAGCATGCGCAAGAGCGATGAAAGCGACACTGTTTTTTTCGAGTGCCACCCACAACATTAACGTGAACAAGATCTTCAAGTTTGTCGTGGCCAAGTTGTTCAACTTGCCATGGACGGTGGAGAGAAATTTGAACATAGGAGAACCTACCATTGATTTCTAGTTTCTTTTTTTTACTTGGCTTTTCGCTTTCTTTCTTCTTCTTCTCTTATTTGTTACAGAAGCTCCTTGTCCTGTAATTGCTACGCTGTGGATAGCAACACGCTGCATGACAAGGGTTGATGAGCCTTGAAATTTCAGAATACCAACTGGAATCCTACTTGAATTGTTCAATGTAGAGATTGATAGCTCAAACAACAAAGATACGAAATACCATGAATATGATGGCTGAGTTCGATCTAGCATTCATTAGGAAAGCAAATGAGCAGCTGATCGTGCGATGTACCACTCCGGAAGTGAAGGCATGGGGGGCAGAGATCGAACAACCTGCACTTTGTTCTACATCACTTGCCGGTTAATCAAATCAAACGAAAAATGCCAAATCGTGCAGCTTTCAGCTTCCAATCGTCTCGCACCGAGTCGAAACGTTCGAGTCGAATTGAACCCTAAATGTTACATTGAAAGGCGCTTCGACCGTTTCGAGGTCTAACCACGCGAACATAATGGACTTTGAGCTGCTCATCACATCGTGCTCGTGGCCTCGAGGGCTTTTGAGATACTCCTCGCTCCAGCCCAAAAGCCCATGGCGTGGGGGCGCACATTTGGGATTCTATTGGTCTACGTTTTAAAGCCCTAACCCTAACATACCACTCTACGGTACATAAGAAGGGCGGCTGCGACCTCGTCCAGCTCTTATTGCTCTTGGTCTTGGGAGGCGGAAACACCAACCAAGCGCTGCAGTCATGGTAACGCGACGGATCTTGTTTCTTTTTGTCCTTATGGATATGGGAAATTTTGGATTTGTTCCCTCGATTCTTCCCGACTGTTTTCTTTGTATCGATAGTGTTTGATCTGTTCCATATATCGGAACAAAAATCGATCTTTTAGGGGTTCGTGGCTAGATTCATCCGTCGCATGTTTTCTGTGGATGGGCGGAGGTGGATAGTATTGAGCGCTCAAAATAGGTTAGGGATTTTTGGCATAGAAAGGAGGCTTCTTTGAGTCTTAACTTTGTTACCGAAGATTTCTCGGATTACTCGTTTCGGCCGTTTATAACCGACGTTTCCCGTGATTGGTGAAGCAAATCATGTTAGCGTCGTGGTGTGAAGACCAATTTTTTCTCTTGTTATCTCTTGCGGCTGCATATTGTATCATTAGCTGAATCTGCCAAAACATTTTGGGCAAATTATTAGATTTATTACTGCATATTTTAAGGTTTCATTCATGTGAATGAAGTCATTTGTGTTTTCAAATTTACACGATACGTTTGACATTTAGGTTTTTTGACAACTGTATGAATTCTGTCTGATGACTCCATTCTACTATTTGATGACATTTAGGTTTAAGTGTTTAACATAGCTTCTTGTTTTTAATTGGTGCGACCAACATTATTGGAAATTTCGAATTAATTTGGCGTGCAAAAAATCAGATAATTATGTTGGGAAGTCATATGAGAATGCAGTTGAATATTTTTTATTCGTGCAATTTGATAGAAATTCGTATGAAATTTGATAGGAAGTCTGAGTGACAACATGCAGTTCCACACTAGAGATATGGAAGCTTCCATAGTAATATCTAGAGCTAATCTTTCTTCTCTCTGCTGACAAAGTTCTGTCAGCATGATGGTGTAACAGCCTGTTGAGTAAATAACATGCCATTCCAGATGGTTACCTAGAGCTTATTGTTAGTGTGAACCTCTTGAGTTACAATTGCAATTATTATCACCTGTAAGGCCTGCTGAGTAGGTACTGGAGATACATCATACGTGGGCTTTAGCTAATTGTGTAGATAGAATTGCAGTGAGTATCTTTCAGCTTACAATCTTGATTTGCATTGAATTATAAAATAATTGCATCTACTTACACTAGATACGCTTGAAGCAATCTCTTCTAGAGGCACTACACCAGAATCAATGCAGATTTTGACAGTCTAAATTGAGCTCAAGTCAGCTGATGTAAGTTGATAATCCTACAGGAGTTTGAACTACCTTTTAGGTGTACCATCATGTATGTTTGGTGTTGGTGCTAAAAAATTGGTGTCTTGGGATCTTGAAACCTGAGTTAATAGTCAAAGGCTATCTTGGAGGTCAGCTATATTGATTATGTAACAAAGAGAGTCTTGTAGTATGGGCATTACACTTAAATAATTATAAGATATTTGGTGGTCAGAATTCCTAATAATTGAGATGCTTGGAAAACTTGCCTTAACCAGACTTTATTTTTTTCAATTTTATTTGATTTTTTTTCCTTTTCTTTTAGCAAGTACTTCCTTTGCTATATGTGGTCTGGCTCTCTTTTATCTGTTGATAGTAAACTTTACTGTGAATGCCATTGTTCAGGTGAATGTTCCCAAGACAAAGAAAACATACTGCAAGAACAAGGCTTGCAGGAAGCACACTCTTCACAAGGTTACTCAGTATAAGAAGGGAAAGGACAGCCTTTCTGTTCAAGGGAAGCGACGGTATGACAGGAAGCAGTCAGGTTATGGTGGACAGACGAAGCCTGTTTTTCACAAGAAGGTATTTTTATCTGTTCGATGGTGCTTAAGGAATTTTAATTCTGATGCATGAGTTATATATATACTTGCTCTGCAACTGCTAGCTGGATTCTGGATTTATGTTTCCAAATTATACATGATGAATACATTTCTCGTGCATCATCTATTCAATTTTATGTGAGATGACTGTCAGCTGTGCATATTACTGTCCTCTGAAAGTAGTGTAGGTGTACTAATTGTCATTACTTTTCTGCCAGGCAAAAACCACCAAGAAGATTGTGTTGAAGCTTCAATGCCAAAGTTGCAAGCATTATTCGCAGCATCCCATAAAAGTACTAGCACTGATATTCTATTGTTTTTCTCCTTTCAATGTTTTTATCTATAACTAACATCATTTTCATCCTCGGTACAGAGATGCAAGCACTTTGAGATTGGTGGAGACAAAAAGGGGAAGGGGACTTCTCTCTTCTAGTTTGTTTTTGTTGATCTCTCAATGCTGTGTCTTTCTGGTTTCACTGAAAATGGTAATTCTAGGTCTCAGGGGAACTTGCCATACAGCTTGATGCTGTATCTTTTTGGTATCACTCTCAAATGGTAGTTCTAGTATATGTTCTCCAGCGAATTTGGTTCAAGTGACTGAAATGACAATGTTAATTTACTTATGCTTGTGGTTGAGAATGGATACTTAATATTTATGAATATCTATGAAGTTTACTTATTTGGATGCCAGCCTCGGCTGTCTTTATCTTTTATTAAATACATGAAATGAATAGTATTGCACACATGTATGACCCAAGTCAAGTAGAACATGAATCTTCTATTCTGTGTTGGATGAGTATGTCGCCTTTTAACAGGCATATCATCTGTTGTGTAACATTCAGATTGAACACTGAACTTGATGTACTGATTCTTAACTACTTTTTTTTTATCATCTGATTAAATATCAAACAGATACTGGATGTACTGTCAGAGTTACAAATATCAAGGTGTGATGGTATGAGATTAGGCAGATGATGAATATATGTCTGGTGTTGAAATCTTGGTGGTCAAACACCCAGATGAAATGTAGGAAGTTTTGTTTACCCTGCTGCATATCACTGTGGTGGTCCATCTTCACCTCTACCATATAGCAACATGCTTTGATGCCTCTTCCTACTTGCTTCAACCTGAGAGAAGTATGGTTTTCTTGCTAATTCAATTACCTTGGAATTTTGCCATTCTCCCACCCGAAAAACCAGAAAATGTAGTATCGATATGAATATATATTTCATAAAACTCTGCAGAGCAGTTGAAGGCTGACAAGGCATTGCATATTCAGCAAACATCCAAAGAAGATCTAATATTTCAGACATCAATCAGAACAATATCATGAAATCACAGGTGCGGACAACTTGGCTCTCCGCTCTAACCAAGAGGCAATCCTTATTTAGTGTGTCCTTCAAGAACCCAAAAGGACCATATACTGGTCCTCACTTTTTCTCCCACATGACTGGGAATAATGAACTATGGCAAACGTTCCAACAAATGAGATAGACAATATACATATATAGATATTACTTTGCCTCAAAATCAAATGTGTGCATACATCACACAAGCATTGACAGTACCACACTCCCTCAAATCTCTTAATGAGAATAGTCTTGGTAGAAATACTCATAGAAGCTGCAGATAACATCCTAAATCTAAAAGAATGACTGCAATTGCTTATTTTTCCAAATACATCTATCTGCAACAAAATGCTGCTGCTCAGCTGCTACTTTGCAAAATCAATTAATCTGCCACTAAATGCGCCAAAGAATCAGTAGATAAGAACTAACGATGACTAATATAGTAGCATGCATGATCATATCGAAAAGGCCGCACTAGCTTTCACTGCTTAGCCTGCAAAACAAGTAAATCACAAGTAAGCACTATTAAGTTACACATAATTACTGGCTACAATATTGAAGCACAAGACAAATGAAGGTTTACTTGCCCTACAGACTTTAAGCCTAGATGTTGAACACCATCGCACACTCACTGGTTTAACTACCATACATAATAGTGCAATCTTTTTTTCATTCACTACTATTTCATGCACCGATACAAGCTCCATATGAGACAAAAAAAAAAGGAATTAGATTTCAGTTCAAGAACTGATGGAGCAAATTTACCTGGGAGTAGAGAAAAGTTCCAAAAATGGCGATGGCAGCTCCGAGGGCATTGATTGGCTGAACAGGTGTGTGGAAGATTATGATAGATGCAACAATCACCGATATCCTCTTCATGGTGTTACCAATGCTAAAAGTCAAGGGAGAGATTTCATCAAGCGACATGTAGGACACTTGATTGTACAAGTGGTAGAACACACTTTGCGCTGCCATCCACCTAGATAATTCATAAATAGGTGAATTATGTTAGCTACAGAAACACTATGATACGATGCATAGTGAATGATCAGCAGTGGAAGAACAAAGAAAATAGTTCTCTCTAAATTAATCAAACTCTGGAATCAGTCTAGACAAATTGAATGGTCTTTGCTGACCGAACAATGGAATAGTATACTTTGACCAAGAAGAATTATTGACTAAATGGAAGCAAATTATGAATTGATTTGCTGTATTACATGGAAGAACCTCTTGCCTTAATCCTGAGGGAAAACCATATATGTACAAAAGAAAAAGATAAGTAAACATACATGTTTTAGATGCTATTGAAAGATTTGACACCTAAATCACCAAGGTGCCCTCAAAATCTAAATGTCATGCAGATGAGAACACAGAAGATCTTGAGATAATGTGTGTACAACATTTAAATTTGGTGCTCAATAATGTTGCACAGTGCAGAGCATGTAAATGTCATCAGTGTCTCGATAGAAAAAAAAAAACGAAATCGAAGAGGAATAGGAGAAAACAATATAATTACCAGACAAAATGAGGACCGATCTGTGATACTGCTTTATTCCAACCAGCAGCCCACATCTGAGGACCCTCCACCGCAATAGCAAAGGGCATGAGTATTAACAGAGATAGCATAGAGAGGCAGGCGTAGTAGTTCATTCCACTGACCGACTTCCCTTTCATCCCTTTTTTTGAGAATATATTCCGAAACACAAATGCAAGGTTTGATATCATTGCCCCCATAAATCCTGCAACCATGAGAAACATGATCAAACACTTCAGGAAGCAGACTCCATGTTAACAATGCCAAAGTCTTAGAATAGAATTATAAGGAAACCTCAAGATAGTCCTCAAGACATCATTAAGCAACACGGCAAACGGACTAGTAGTGACATACACGTAAAGGCATTGTGAAAGGGAAAGGTTTTGAACAACTTTCATAGTCGACCCATCAAACAAATATTTGTTCTTGTCAAATTGCTACTGTTGAGTTCTTCCCAAAGAAGTTAATTTAGAACATTTGAAATATCGACAAAGAAAGAAAGAGGAAAATCTAAATGATTGAACAAAAATTACTATGAAACACCACCTTTCTACCAAAACAGATTAGGAACTATGAAATAGTTACTGGCAAAAATAACATTTCGCAGAGATAAATTACTGAAACGCATCGTCTCAACCACTCATACCAGTCATGTTAAAGTTCAGCTCAGTCACTGCAGCTAAAGCGCAACCACCGATGATTGGCAGTAGTGACAGATACACCGGCACGGGGAACCTCTCCCCCAACAAGAACCTCGACACCAACACGCTGAAGGCCGGCTCGCCGCTCTTAATTATGTGAGTGAACGAAACCGCCACCTTCGACATGCTCACTGTCGCAGCCACATGCCCGATCGTGTGCGCCACGGCCACCTAACCAGAATTGGAGACCATCATCAACATCCACAAGATCCAAAAAGGATGTATCTTTTTATCCTAAAAGCCATCGAAATCGCAAATTTCTCACCGGAGCGAGAGCTTTCCAGAAATCCAGGTCGGTCTTTGGAACCTCGGCGACCCTCGCGCCCCAAGAGAGCAGCATTATGAGGGAGCCGACGGCGAGGGAGAGGGTGGAGGTCAGCCAGGGGTAAGGGAAGGCGTTGAGGACCTTCTTGTTGTAGATATTGAACACCACGTTGAGTGCCCACCACGTCGCGAAGTAGATGCCGATCTTGACCTTCTGCGCGGCGGCGGCGCGCCCCTCGTTGTCCAGCACCGGGATGCCCTCCGACCGGTCGGCCTCGTAGGCCCTCGCCTTCGACGATAGTCCTCGGAGATTGGCGGCCGAAGCCGGCCCATCTCGAGAGCCAAGGCCGAAACTTCCGAGAGGGGCCAAGTACAAGGGTTTGAGAGACGAAAGGGACGAACCTAGCTTATCGGAAGAAGATGAAAGCGGTGAAACCCGCGGCAATGGCTTCCTCAGCGATCTGGACCTCAAAAGATCGGAGGCGGTGAAAGCCGCCATCGAGGGCATCGTCGAGCAGATCAAATTCGCCATTGGAACGTCGAAGAGAGGATCAAAACCCGATATTTCAAGCTCTGGATTCTTCAAAAATCCAGAGAGAAATAGAGGGAACTCAGAAAAATGTGATTTTTCTTCGACTCCGGAGGAAAGTAGCGATTTTTAAGGGTTCGACGGAAGAAAGTTTGATCCACAGAGGGTTTTACAATGAGAAGAACAAGGATCTAGAGTTCAGAAACGGGGAGCATACGCAAAGAGATGAACGCTAACACGGAATCCGCGCTCGATATAGTTGCGGGATGAGAGCCCTCTGGTGGGCTGTAAATTTATAGATAGAGATAGGAAGGAAGCAAAGAAAAGCAGGGACTATGGTGTTTGTAAGCAAAACGGGAGGAGAAAGTTTGGTGGCTGTGAAACTTTCTACGTCCTGCGTGCAAAATTTTGATTTTGTTACTTGTGGTTTGAGGTTTGTTCCTTTCATTGACTTCGTAGATTAGACTCTGACCTTCATTTGGGATTCCGAGGGGTTGCGGTACAGTGTATATAAAATTGCGACAAAGTTAGGATCCAAGATGGCAGATACGTGTGGGTTGGTGGCTTTCTCTCAAGCTGACCATTTGATGGCATGACTTAATCGTTTCTAGAGCAGGAAGAACAATAGCGTAGAACTTCTGGAGGAAACAAAGGAATAATAACCACAGGGGAAGATTCTGAGCATAATTCTCGTGAGCACCAGATGGATAGCGACGGCAATTAAAGGGAATGCGGTTGTAAAGGCTACATAGTTCGGGAAGCACGCGGGTACCCATCGTCGACGAGCAAGTCTACAGCGTTCGCCGCGCGTTGGTAGAGGTGATGGGATGCCATGGGCCTCGTTCGCGGACCAGTGCAGTCGGGTCACTGATGATAGCGGATCGAATCTTTGTGGATATTTTATGCCTATCCGACCCATTTATGTTATGTTAGAGGATTTGGAAGGCACAACAAAAGGAAAACAAAGCGTTTATAACCATAAATAAGATGAGATTTGCATTTATTTTTTTCCAACGATACGGACTATTTACAACCTTCAACATGATTATGGTTTCAATATGATTAATTGGTACTTACCAAATGAATATGGTTATATAACCCAAATCAGATCGGAAAATTCATAACCCTCAATTGATTCGCTTTGATCCCTTAAAAAATAAATACTTTTGATTCTTATTTTTTATTAAAGACATGTGAATTTTTTTAGGATATTTAATTTATATAATAAAAATGAAAAGAGAAGTTAAATCCTATAATAAGTCCTATCATCTTATTTCGCAAATTATTAATTAATTTTATTTTATCCATATTTT